AGACAATTCACAAAGAGAAAAAAGGGCTAATAATTTCAAAAGCTCTGATAGTCAATAAAATATGTAACCATACATAAAATCAGAGAATCTTACAGTTTAAGGCCATATGGGACCAAAATATAACATCCTGCACATTACAAGATACGAAACCCCATCCAGTTAGCCTTGCATTGAGCCCAATAACTCAGATTAAATGAAAATATTGCAGCCCACAGGAGACTCAACTCTTCTGTGCCACAAGCAGAGAATAGAAGTGACTGAGGTGCACCAGTACACTCGGCCTTTGAAATACAGGGAATTGATTTGGTGAACTATATTCAGTTAAACCTATGAATTTATTAACAACCTGACCAGACTATGGTAGTCTTCAAAGAATTAACTTAGTTTCATTAATGTCTAAAACGCCTTGTGACCCTGGGAAGGAAGGCATTATAATTATGCAAACAATGATTTATGATTAATTTGATCACATGCTGTGATGAATAGGAGGAGTGCTGGCCAGCATTCAGTGACGAAAGGGTTAATCTTGGGTAGCCAGGGGATGTTGGCAGGGAACCAGGAGAGCCAATGGAAAAAGTTGATGAAATTTGATTTGGAAGATATAATTGCCTGTTGTTTTCTTTGTGTGTTTTTTAAGCTAGGAGCTGGGGAAACAAGATGAATTAAACCAGGAGAACTACCATGCTTACAAGGAATCCTGGGTATGGTAATGGACTGGACCTTGAAACATGGATTGTAAGTAGATAGGAAAATATCTATTTAGATGCAATCAGGTTATTTTCTTTGTTTTGTTGTTTGGTTAAACTTCTCTGTGCCATGACCATGCTCTCCCCCACCCCCCTACACAGACTGTATTTTAAGCTGTATCCCAGAGATACCATTTGTCTGTGTTTTAATCTGTTCTTTCTCAGTTGCTCTGTAACACCTAGCAACCATGTATGGTTATCAAGTATATCTTTTTGTTTTGTTAATAAAATCGCCTTTTTTTAAGATGATGATTTGATTCTAGTATCCTGGAAGGTAACAGGAGATCTGTGTATGAATGCCTAAATCTGAGAAGTCAGCTATCAGAGATTGCAGTTTGTTTTTTCTTTTTATTCCCAACTCCCATGTGGTAAAAGAGTTTAGGGGTACATCTCTGGAAGAAGTCCAAGTGCTTTCTTCCTGGGTTCAAGAGGAAGGGGTTTTATTTTGTCTCACTTGGTGGTAGCAGCTACCTCCCAAGGCCAGGGGATCTGTGACCTTCAGAAGTTTTTGTAAGCAGAGCCTATAGAGGCAAGGATTTTTAAGGTCTCTTGCAGGTCCCCACCTTCTGCACTCAAAGTGCCAGAATGGGGAACAGCCTTGACATATGCTCATCTATAAAAGGTCACCACAAAAGAAAAGGAAAAAGGAAGATAGTGATGTTATTGTATCCATGACTGATGTTAGAACAATGGCCATCATAAACAGGCACAACTGTAATAACCAAGGATGAACAGTTGAGATTCTGCATCATACACTATTAACAGCGGCTGTAAATCAGGGATGTTAAAAGGAGGTGAGAATTCTGAGCTAGTTCAAATGTCTACTTTCAGCATAAACTCCAAGAGATAGTCAGTTGGTGCCTCCTCCTAATTAAAAGGCAGATTGTGCCATTATGTCTTTTTGTTTCTTTGTTTGCCGGTGTTTGTTTGTGAATTCCCCATCTAAGTCAGTGGGTCCACTTAAAAATGGATCGTGTTAAGCCAGGAAATTTTGAAAGTGCTCAGTGTTGGTAGCTTTGCTCCCATTTATGTCAAAAGGAGTTTTACTATTGATCTCAATAGAAGCAGGGTCAGACCAAGGCTGAGCCCTTTTTAAAGTCTCCATTTAAACTGGTTCTATATGGTTTTGTCCCATATAGAGAAGAGCCACTACTTTGCTACTGACACACTGCCAGTGCCCATAGAATAGGGGAGCATTCCTACGTACAAAGTATCCACTTTGTGGGAAGTTGGGGTGGAAAATCTGACCCTCCATATTTAGCCTAAGCTGTTCAGAATTATTTATCAATATTGGGTATCTGGATGCCAACATTTCTAATGGTTATTTAATATTGTTCAGCACCAGACACCTCACAGAATAAACAAGCCATAGTGTGTTCACCAAGGAGCTTGCAAACTAATTTCAGACATGACACAAGATAGGAGTGACAAAACTGAAGGGAGGAGTTGCAAGGGGAAGGACAGAGTGAAAACAGTAAAATTACATGATTACTCAACAAAGGTTAGCGTGCAGCACCAACAAGCGAAATTGTGTGTGTGGTGGAGGAGGGGGAGGGGATTAGTATAAAGATTTAAATGTCTTTGCTGACTCATTTCTTGCAGACAAATGTGAGCAATAAAGAGAGGTTTGAATTAAAAAGGTGCTGGGAGACCAATGTAGAGCAGGCAATCCATAAAGGAAAGCATTGACAAAAGCACAGCCGCGGCTATGGGAGAAGCGGACAAATGAGGCACCATTTTCAGACAAGAGTGGGCATCAAATGATGTGATAGCACACAAGATTCAATAATGGGCAACACACAAGGCCACTATAAGTGGCCAGGGAGCAAGGATAAATTTAATGAACCTCAGAGGTACAGAAAGTGTGCGCGCAAGAGGGTTGAGTATATAGCCTGGTAGCTGAGAGAAGCTGGAGGAAAGACTATAGTCACTCATTGGAAGAAGAGTGGTGTGTATGGGGCAACAAAAGCAAGTAGCTTAGAACAGTGGCTCTCCGCCTTTCCAGGAGTCTGATTTCTCCCGAAGGTTCACCTCTCTTAAAAACTACTTGCCTACAACATCAAGTACAATATATTCCAACTGATTTATTTTATAATTATGTGATAAAAATTAGAAAGTAAGTAATTTTTCAGTGTGCACACTTACCTTCTCATTTTTATCACATAATTTGTTTTTTATGAAGTTTATTGTAAAACTATGCAAATATCTAGATTAATTGATGTACCCCTGGAAGACTTCTGCTTACTCCAGTGGAATGTGTACCATTGTCTTACAGTTATTCCCTGGGAAGAAGGAGTTGTTTGGCTGACAAACAGACGTTGGGGGACGGTAGGAGGCAGAAAGTAAGAAAAGGGCTCAAGAAAAGTCAGTAATGTCAAAGAGGGAACAGACCTGGACTGATGAATAAAGGGTGCCTGACCAGAAACCTGGAATAGAGGGTGGGCCAGGATTCCCCTGCCAGCTGCTGAGGGGGTGTCACTGAGACAATGAATGAGAAGGTGGCCAGAGACTGATAAAGAAAGACTTTGATACCCCAGAAAGAGGAAATGTGTATAATGAGTTGGCTGGAGGACCAAGTTATGAAAATGGAGTTGCTCTGAGAGAAAGCAACAGCAGATCATGTAGCAAAAAATGGAAGAGGGTGTTGTGAGTGATTTTAGTAAGTTATGTAGTTTTACAATGTTATGTGATGATTTCTGTAAGCTAGGTACTGATCATTTGGAAGTGAATGGACTTTAAACCCTAAAACTCCATTTTGAGAAAACCAACTCCATTTTGAAAGATGCCTGGTAACATCAGCAAGGGAAACATTAGGTAGAGTTGGGTCAATCTGGCTATAACTGGATTTTCCCATAAGCTCCTCGAACATTTTTTTACCTCAAGCCACTCAGTTAATAAAAGCCCTGAACCTGTCAGTCACCTCTCTTCTTTCTATCTAAGACCAAGAGAATACAGTGCGACATATCAGGCAGCCCAGGCCTTTAGCACTGAGGAATTCCATCTGCGCTCTAGTGAAGAAAAGGAGAAGATACTCACCACTACAGGATCCACTGCTGTCACCTGCCTCTCCGCTGGGATCTCCCTGATGTTCCTCCTGATGAGCTTTCAAATAACTCACTGGTTGAGATCCCAGGCTTCACGCTGTACTTCACTTCCATCAATGCTGTAATGAATACTTCTTTATTGTTCAAGATCTGTACTATCCCTCTTTTTTTCTTCCTTTTGCCACGTGGGATATTGTGGGTCTGGGTTTTATGCCTAATTAATAGTTCCTGTACTGTGTTTTGAAGTGTTATACTTTGTGAATGCTGGCTGTTTACTTTTGGTTATACAGGTATGTGTTTTAATGATTTTTCTCTATTTTCCTAATCACTGTTAATTATTCCTCAGTACTTGTATTGACTTACTTTAGTGTTTTCATTTCATACTACGTATGGGGAAAGGGGAGTAAGATCCTTGCTGGTGATGGTTATGATATTGGCTGACAGGCTTGCATTTCTGAGACAGGGACAACCCAGATTCAGGGTTTTCTTTATTATTATAGTTGCCTTTGTCCCTGAGATAATAGAATTGACAACCACAGCAAGACCTGGTCAGGAGGATGAACTGCCCCTGATTAGGTCTGGCACAGCATCCCGTTGTTTAATATTTTTTTTCAGTATCAGGAACAAATGGTCCAGTGACTCAGGGTGGATTACATTTATTGATTTCTTTCTCTTTCCCCATTATCCCATTGGTATAATTTCCTATGAAGGTAGGCTACATAGTCTAAGTAGGTCACGCTTGGGAAGTAGATTCTGCATTGACAGGATGAGGATCTCACTGAATGAGGATCTGTAACCTTGTCCGATTTAACCTTTTCTTTTTTGGATTGATTGGTGAGCAACACTAGGGTACGTCTAGACTACCGCGTTTTGTCGACAGAAGTTTTGTCGACAGATACTGTCGACAAAACTTCCGTCGACAAAGAGCGTCCAGACACATTGAGTTCTGTCGACAAAGCAAGCTGCTTTGTCGACAGAACTCCGTAGTCTGGACGCAATGTTACAGGCAATAACACCTTCTGTCGACAGAGTTCTGTCGACAGAAGGTGTTATGCCTCATAAAATGAGGTATACCAGCGTCGACAAAACTGCTGAGTTCTGTCGACGTTATGTCGACAGAAGTCAGCGGTAGTGTAGACGCTGGTATAGTTTTGTCGACAAAAGTCCACTTTTGTCGACAAAACTAGGTAGTCTAGACACACCCCTAGTGTTGATGGCGGAACATGTGTTTAGCCTCCAAGGATGGACCACCTGGTGTAATAAAAAATCAATTGAATTCAGTGCGGATCATTTCATGAAGGGAAAGAATCCTTGGACATGAGAGTCCCTTGGTGGGGAGGACTCCTTAAGTAAACTTACTGTACTTTGGGTGTAATATGTCACTGCTAAACCAACCTCCAGTAAAAAGGCAACAAAATGTGCCTTGATTTATGGCTTAGCTATGGTCAGCTGGGAGCTGAACTCCGAAATGGGCTGACTGAAAACTCAAATGGAAGCAATGCTGGGAGAAAAGTGGGAGCTGGGAGTAAAACTCCAGCAGCAGGCTGTGGAAAATCAAATAGCATCTGCAGTGGTACCCAGCTTAACATTGCAAGTGTCACAGCTTGAACAACTGCGAGATTTGCATTTATAGGTATCAGAGGCTAAGAAAGATGCCAGTTTAAAAGAACATCAATTAGCTGAACCTCAGGCTGCTATGAGACAGCTAATGAGGGAGGTTGGTGCCCCATGGGTAGAATCAAATCATGCTGTCTGTCAATTACAAATAAATAAATTAAAGCAGCAGCTGCAGACAGCTAAGGGTATGATATGTGCTATCCAAACCAACCTATTAGCAGCTTATGGAACTGGGGAATTCTATATGGATTTTGAGGAAGACCAATTGCCTCCATATTGAGGAAAGTACCCAGAGGAGCCATCTGCTCCTGAAAGTGATGAAGGAGGGATGGCAGTAGGAGGTCCCTGCCCCAGTCCTTGCTGCAGTAATCTCTTATGGTGGTAACCACACTCTGATAGGTAAGCAGGAAAGTAAAACATTGACCCCAGGACAAACTGGAGCAATGAGGATGATGGGCCCGTGCACAAGGGAAACAGCACTTAATTGAATGGCTAGATTGTGTGTTGCTCCTAATTTGAGCCAAAAGGATGTAATAGCCCTTCTCAGAGAATGTATGTCATATGAAGGCTTCAATGCACTACCTTCTCATGTTCTAACTGATCTTCAAACAGCCAATTTGATTTGTATAAATGTGTATTTAAGATGTATTTTCTGCATGAGGATATTGTTGGCAAAACATATGCTGAAAAGCAAAAAGATACTGAACGGCCAGAGACATATTTCATGAGGAAGAACTTCTTCTTCTTTGATGATGTCCCCATGGGTGCTCCACTGTAGGTGATGGCCTCGTCCTGGCGCCACAGATTGGAGTTTTGAGCAGCAGTAGTTAGCCAGATTTTGCATGCACGGTAGGCATCTCACGGCGTTCGCACCATTTTGCATACACACGCGGTCCAGCTCCTGTCGTTTCCTTTGTTGCCGCCCTAGGTCGCAGATGGAGTGAGCTCCTCTCCTCTAGTTCAAAAAAGAGAGTTCTTAGTTAGTTGTTTATGTTCGTTTTTCCCTAGTTACAGTTTAATAGTTAATAGTTCATTAAAAAAAATCCTTCATTGTTACCAGCTTCCTCAGGCCTTAAAAAAAAAAAGAAGAGAAGACTGGAAAGAGGAAGAAAACCTATCCTCACTAAACAGCTTAAGGGAAAAGTACCCCATCGCAATGCCTGGCTCACCGGGTTTAAGAAATGCAACACTTGTCATGAGCCATGCCGGCTTCTGACAGCCACTATTCCTGTATTCACTGTCTGGAAGAGGCCCATGTGCCTCCGAAATGCCCACACTGCTCAAAACTAACAGCAAGAGCACAATGCGACAGGGAAATTTACTTCCACATGATACTCTTTGATAGGGCACTCCAGCCATCAGACTCGGCATCCGTGGCTCACCCAGAACCCACTCCTGCCCAAAAACAGAGGGCCTCCTCCCCAGGGTCAGGGCCTGTGAAAAAGAAATGGGCTTCACCAGCATGCTCTCTCCCACTGTCCCGACAAGCAGGGTTAACACAGGAGACAAGCCCAGAACATCCAGCACGACCCCTTTGCGCTTGAAGGTGGTTCCAGACTTGAAAAATAGAAGGTACCGTCAGTGCCAACACCTCGAGCACTGCCGGCACCGAGGTCTACATCAGCACCAGCATCCCCATACTCCAGCGGCCTGAAACCGACATTGACACAGACTCCATCGGCACCGGCAGCACCCACTTTTCTGGAGCCAATATTGCAGCCTCCGAGTCCGGAACCGGAGAAGTGTGATGCAATGTCAGAACTGAGAAAGGCTCCCACAAAAAACAGTAGGCACCGGAGTCCTGATCCTGATTCTCCAACATTCTCTCTGACACCAGCACTTTCTCCATAGGCGCCACACCTCTTTGAAACCAAACATGAGCCACTCTCATATATGAGACAATGGAGATCCCTATCTCCATTCCCTGTGGCACCACAAGGGGAGCTCCATCATCACGCCCACCTGAGGCGCATTTCCCTTTCTCTACCTCTCTCTTCTAGGAGCTCAATTATACTCTCCCATTCACCAACACTCTCCCCACATGCAGAGTACTGGGAAGGACATAAGAGCGCGTTTTCCTCAAGATGCTTATCACCTAGACCATTGTTTCCAAAATAGTGCTCCTCAGAACTCGGGGTTCCGTGAAGTGAAAGTAAGGGTTCCATGAGAACCTGATCACTCCCCACCCCCCCAGAGCTGGTCTTAGGGGCAGGCAAGCTTGGCGGTTGCCCGGGGCTACCATTTTCAAGGGGCCGCTGCAGTTGTAGGGGCAACCAGTTTCCCCTGGCAGTTTTTTTTAAAGGGCTCCATGGCCAAATAAAGTTTGGAAACACTGACCTACACGGTCACATGACCACCACAGCTACTACCATAACGATGCACCCTATTGCTTGACTGGCTACTACTATCATCAGCCTTCACATCCTAAATGCTGGTCCCCATGCTGCTACAGATCTCCCTCAACGCATAGATATCCTTCTGCATCAGTGCCTCCTCGAAAGCAACACCCCCCATCACTACCCCAGAGCTCCTTCCCTCAAACACACCACTCAGAGCCTGAAGAGGGGCAACTATCAGACCCTGAGGAATAAGCAGCCTGTTACTATCCCTACGGATCAGTCATCCTCGTCTCTGCTCAAAGCCATAATTCCAGAGAACACATCACCTCCAGATGACCATAAACAATTCCAGGAGTTGTTTAAGAAGGTTGCCACAAGCCAGGAGGTGCAACTTACAGAGGTTCAGGGCAAGCAGTACCGCCGCCTCAAAAATCTTCAGTGCTCCCACCAGTCTAAGATCACATTGCCAATAGATGAGGCGATTATGGAAGTCGCCACTGAGATCTGGCAGACTCCAGCTTCTGCCCCACCAACCAATAAGAGAGCAGACAAAATGTATTTTGTCCCTGCCAAAGGACAAGTGCCCCTACACTGCACTCCTGTCGAACCACGACTTTGACAATTACACAAAGCTCACAGCACTCATGGAACACTTATTAGACTCAAAGAGACCAATCTTGAAGTCCATTGTTCAAGAAGACTACGCTTCTGCTAGGATGGGTCTCCAGATAGCGTTAGTCGTAGCGGACATAGCTGCCCAGTCAACGGCTACTGCAATAGTGATGCGAAGAGCTTCGTGGTTACAAACAGCTGGAGTCCCATAGGAGCTTCAGAACAAAGTCGAGGACCTCCCATTCGATAAACAGAAGCTCTTTGCTGAGAAGGCGGATGAGGTCCTCCATTCAAGTAAGGATTCCTCCAACCGTGCCTCCAATCAGCCATCGAACAAACAGCAAATTTGACTTCTTGGTCGAGGGCTTATAAACCCTTCCTGTTGTGAACCCAAATGATCACATGACTCCCATTTTCCACCACCGTCTAAGACCTTTTTACCATTACTGGTCCACCGTCACTTCTGATTGTTGGGTTATGGAGATCATCTCATCTGGCTACACCATTCCCTTCCTGTCTCTACTTCCAACCACCCCCCACATACCTGACCTTTTCAGGGACCTTTCTCATGAGGCTCTGCTAAAACAGGAGGTCCATCATCTCCTCTCCATTGGAATGATAGAGAAGGTACCAGATTAATTCAAGGGAAAAGGCTCCTACTCCCACTATTTCCTCACCCAGAAGAAAACAGGAAGGTGGAGACCCATACTTGATCTCTGGAAACTCAACCGTTATCTTTGGAGGCAATGGTTCAAAATGGTAACTCTCGCATTTATAATCCCGGTGCAAGACAACAGGGATTGGTTTTCAGCCTTCCACCTTCAGGATGCTTACTTTCACACAGTGCTTTTTTTGTGACGGTACGCACGGATATGGCGTACTGGCACCTTTTTTGGGGAGCATTCGTGCTGTGCTGCTTTCCTCCGGGACAGCTCCCAGCCAGCCCTGGGAGCACTCATGCCATGTCGCTTTCCCCCAGCACAACCCCCTGCCGGCCCACGCTGAAATTTGTGTTGCGGATAGTGGAATGAACTCTGCAGTAAATTTATTTTTGGACTTGATCAAACTTCAAAATGTTACTGAAAAAGCCATTTTTGATTCTTTGCTCAATTGTCTTAAGTCATACAGACTGACAGAAGACTACTTAAAATCTTATTTAGCTTGTGTCGCTGGGATGGTGCAGAATAGATGTTGGGGATGGTGCAGCCATAATGTTGGGGAATAGAAGTGGAGTTATGAAACCAATGAAGGACAAATTTCCTTCTTTAATTGTGTGGAATTGTGCTAATCACAGATTACAACTGTCTGTCGTTGACACAGTAAAATCATTTTCAGGTATCAACATATTTAAAGCGATTATTAATAAGCTTTATGTCCTAGTCATTGAAAGGAAGATTCTGAAAATATACACTTTGATAGAAGTATTTATTTTTTGATTTTTAGCTCTAATACCAACTCCATTAAAGAATAAGGAAAGAGGATGATCTTAAGGGAAGCTGATGGGAGGCTTTTGCTCCTGTCAGCCTCCCTCAGTGTGGACGCCACCACGGCTCATCTTAAGGTAAGATTACTCCAAGTATGCATTTTGCGTAGCTGCAGTTGTGTACCTTAAGCCTTCCTTCCAGGTTCAGTGTAGATCTGCCCTCAGTCCACTAACAGCTTAGCCCTGCCATATTATCTGTGGGCAGAAGAACCCACATTTCACTTTAGCTGGGTTGTGAGCAGCTGTAAGGATCCACCCATGTGGATCTCTAAGGTGCTACAGGACCATTGTTGTTTTTAAAATTTTGTTAGTTACAGATTAACATGGCTACCTCTCTGAGACTTTCAAAATGGTTATAGTATTACATTCACAACACAACTTTCAATGGCTTTTTAGTCTCAGATATAACTAGAACTAGTACCTATATACATTTTTATATTACCAGATTATTTAATTTACAAAGTACAGCAATGAAGGGAGAACATTAAATCCTTTCTTTTACGAAATTGCAAATATTCCATGGAGTTGCTTCATAGTATCCTACTACAGTTTTCACTTTGTCTATACAGGGCTTTATAGTGTGGCTACTTTACAAAGATACAAGGAATTTAGCGTCTACACTATAGATACAGGCACACATACATTGTCTCATAGATACCGCAAGAGGAAAGTCCAAATCCTGCTTTCACATTAACAAGTACAACTCTCACTGAATTCAGTGTGCTGTGTGCAAGTATCTAAAGTCAATTTGGCTCAATGACTTTAAAGACTTACCAGAAATTATTTCTGATGCAGTAATATTTATAGTATAGATTCTTTAACTATGTAAAGAAATTTCAATGAGGTTCAAGAATAAGGCTCCCTTGGGTCATTAATGGTGCAGGCCAGTGTTTTTCAATTTCAGGCCTGTGGACCCATGTCGTCCACAGACTATGTCCATGAGGGTCTGTAAAAGGTCATTGTTGCCATAGAACAGTGATTTTTCAACTGTGATCTGTGGACAACATGGGGGTCCACAGAGTACATCTAAGATTTCCAAAGGGGTCTGACCTACATTTCAAATTTTTAGAGGTTAACAACAACTCTCTGACTATGGTTATCCAGCCAATTATGCACCCATCTTATTGTGGCCCTATCTAAGTTATATTTGCCTAGTTTATCAATAAGAATATCATGCGAGACCGTATCAAATGCCTTACTAAAGTCTAGGTATATGACATCCACCGCTTCTCCCTTATCCACAAGGCTCGTTATCTTATCAAAGAAAGTTATCAGATTAGTTTGGCATGACTTGTTCTTCACAAACCTATGCTGGCTATTCCCTATCACTTTAAATAATCGCTGCTTCATTTACATTAAAATGGCTGCCGCGCTGTGCCGATCAGCTGTTTGTTGGCTCAGGGCGGTAGTCTGGACGCTCAGTGGTCGACATCAAAAGCCTTTGTCGACCGCCCTGCTATGCCCTGTGGGATGAGGTTTACCGGGGCGGTCGACAAAGGCTTTTGATGTCAACCGCGGAGCATCCAGACTACTGTGCTGAGCCGACAAACAGCTGATCAGCACAGTGCAGCAGCCATTATGATGTAAAAAATGAAGCAGCGATTATTTAAATCGCCACTTCATTTTGCTATGTCCACAAAGCTCATCTACATGGCTCCATTGACGGATCCATGTCGTGTAGACATATCCTTAATGATGCTGATCTCAGGGTGTGGAAGTCAATCTTAAGGACCTTGGTTGACTTCCTCAATCAGTTTTATTACTTAAGGCTTAAAAGTATGCATTGTACATTGTGTTACAGCTAATACTGATTGACATGTGACCACTTTCACTAAAATCAATCTAAGTTATTCTTGGCAATAATTCACAGCTACTGGGATACTAAAAGTAACATAATACCATAAGTAAAAGAACTAATATAAGAATTAACAAATATGTACTATAGGCCATACACCTTTCTTCATACGCCTCTATTTACAATATGTATATATTGTATCTAAATACATTGTGCTAAATTAACATTATTAAGGTTGCAAAATCAAGCACTCAAAAGTTAGGAAAAGTCAGAATTCAGGTTGCCTGTGCAACCATAATTCAGTCTCCTTCTGCATATGCCTTATGATAGTTTTTAATTATATGACCACAGGACCACTGCCTTATGCAGGTTTAAAGATTAAAAAGACTTTGTGTTGAAAAATTTAAACCAGCTATATTACCAACCTTATAAAGCCAAACATTCTTGGAACTACTTACCCTGATGTCCTCTTATTCCATTAACTCAAGGCACACACGTGTTGAAATTATACAGAAGTACTAGCTCAAGAGGACTACAGCTATATGTAAATAGAAAGTAATAGAAAATGTGTGAATAAATATTTTGATCAGTTTTAGTTAGCATCACTATAGAAATACTGACTCATAACAGAGTATTGATAGGAGACCATACATTTTATAACAAAAAACTTCTAATGACAAATTTGTCCATGGCTATGTCTTCTCGGCTATAATTAGAAATACCACATGGATGGAGTCTTGCACTTAATTGAGCATAATATTCTGGGTGGTCTAGCCTGAAATAAACATACCCTACTACTCTGAATAAGGATGGAATATCATTTTAATGTGCAGATATTTGACTCCTTTTGTACTACAAGATCAATTAGTTGTTTCTTGATTTCATGACCTACATCTGGAAGAGAGAGCATCTTCTAGTTTTGTTTTTTTGTTTTGTTTTGTTTTTGCCTACTGATATTAAAAATATGTTGTTTCCAACAAACTCCATGCAGTGCAGTTGGAACAGACCAGAGTAATCCCAGGAAATTAGGTCATGATTTACAACCAGAATGCCAAGAAAATGGAAGACTTGGTGATAGACTTTTTCTCTTTTCTCACTCTGTTGCATTGAGCAGTCTGGTTCTTCACCAGGCTCATATTGGCAATAGTAACACTTGATTCTGTGCAACAGCTTTTGTACAGCAACAGTTCTTTAGATTTTTGCAAATGATCCAAATCTAGTTTTATGAACCAGGAGGTTTCCTCAGTGAAATCATCAGAGCAGTTTGGAGATATGTTTCTTTGGGCACCTTTTGTAGAAATTTGTGATTGGATAAGTATAGTGTAAGGGCAGGATTTGGCTCTGTCTGCATATAGGAATCACTTCATCCACAAACAAAATGCAGGCATTCTGGGATGGAATGTTGCAGCTGTTCAAGTGTGTATCAATACAACCCGATAGTTTAGGACAAGAAATGAAGTGCTGAGTTAAATTTTCCATTTAATAATCTGGGGTGAGATTTGATTTCACAACTCAGTAATGTAGTCTAGTAACTCCAATATCAAAAAAATAAGAAACCTGCCTAATATATGAAAAATATTTTTTAAAATGTAATACAATATAACATAACTTTAATATAACAGACCAAAATTCAATCCTAGTATAACATCCAATGAAATTCAACCATTTTGAAAGGAATTACACTGAAGATGAACCTGGAACATAAAATCATATTCATTCACCAGACTGATGAGTATGCAATATCATTAACAAAAACTACTGTTTGAATGAAAAAAGTAAGCATTATATAATACTAGCAGAAATACCCAGCATTGCCCGGGGAAAATATAGTAAAAGGTGTGATGAATGAACTACGTGAATTACATTAACATAGCATATTTTATTGGAAATACTTTTATATATTACTTTAAGAAATTAATATAGCTAGTGATGTGCTTACAAAACGCATTTACATTTAACTAATTTCTTGATAACAAAAGGTATGGTGAATGAACTACGTAAATTACTATAACATAACATATTTTATTGGAAATACTTTTTCTTTTATCATATTACTTTAAGAAATTAACATAGCTAGTGCTGTGCTTACAAAACACATTGCCTAGTGGAGAACAGATTAACTACTTAGTTCGTAGCCAGAGGGAATGGATCTCGTAGTTCCAGTTTATGTGACATGCTTAACAGAAGAGTCGAGCAAATGCCTATGATCAGGCGCTACTAAAAGCTAATTATCAGCGGGCCCAATTGGGACTCTGGGGGAACCGATTTTGAGATATAACCAATCCAGTTATTTAAGTTAGGAAATCAGTAGTATCCGTTCAAAATTTTGTGTTTCTAGCTCTTACCATTTTGGAGATCTTTCGGGACAAACAAACAAACAAACAAACAAACAAACAAACAAACAAACAAACAAACAAACAAACAAACAAACAAACAAACAAACAAACAAACAAACAAACAAACAAACAAACAAACAAACAAACAAACAAACAAACAAACAAACAAACAAACAAACAAACAAACAAACAAACAAACAAACAAACAAACAAACAAACAAACAAACAAACAAACAAACAAACAAACAAACAAACAAACAAACAAACAAACAAACAAACAAACAAACAAACAAACAAACAAACAAACAAACAAACAAACAAACAAACAAACAAACAAACAAACAAACAAACAAACAAACAAACAAACAAACAAACAAACAAACAAACAAACAAACAAACAAACAAACAAACAAACAAACAAACAAACAAACAAACAAACAAACAAACAAACAAACAAACAAACAAACAAACAAACAAACAAACAAACAAACAAACAAACAAACAAACTTTCTAAAATATTTATAAAATAAAGTACCAGCAAATCACTTTTATTTCCATATCACCTTTCCATGCATGAGAGAAAGTAAATGCCATTTCAAGCCAGTTTTACAGCTATTCCAAAAACCAGAAATTAAGTAGCAAACTGCATTCCATTGCTAATTTTAAAATTGAACAATTGTGTACAGCATGATGAAATCTTATTTCTGAATATGCATAAGTGAGGGATTCATTAGAAATGTGAGTGACTAAAGCTCCTTCATGCTTCTTTTTTAATATCTCTGTGCTAAGTAGTGCACATGAAATGTTTCAGTAATAAAAAAGAAACAAGGAAACCCTTTGACCTCAAAATGGGATTGCAACAGAACACTGATTTGATTCTAGTTATTTCTATTTAGTGCACTGTCAACTTCAGAATTAATCATGACCAATTAAGAATAGTGTTGCCAAGTGCTAATTTTTTATCTGAAAAGAAAGAGCGTTGACATTTATTACTGTGCCTCCAGTAAATCCATTGCCAGAACTTTACCATCCACCCACTCATAGGGGGGTTAAGGTGGACTGTAAAAATGAGGGGGAAATGAGCCCTGGGGTTTCAACCACAGCCCTGATCCACCACCTGGGGGGAGGGGTCTGCTTTGAATTCCAGGCTCTGGCCTATTATTAGGGCACAAGGTTCACTCCTGACATTCTCAAGCAAATTCTAAGAGGGACAATTTGAACCTCCAACTTTGGTCTGTTGCAGAGCACACTCACCCTTTGGAAGTCACCTCACTTCCATCTTCTGAGTTCAATACGGAAGAACAATTAGATTCTGGGTGGCCCCGAACACTTTGGAAGCCTGGTGGTGCTGTAGAAACAACCTCACTCAGGCCCGTACACGGGGGAGTGTGAAGGGTGCAAAAGCACACCCACATGGACCCCCCAAGTAAGCATGCTCCAGCTGGCCTGGGGAAAGCAGGAGCAGTGTGCTGCCCATGTTTCCCTTTCCCATGATCTGACCAGACATGGAAGGCTAGGGCTGATTTCCCTGCTTACTTGGCGGAGCATGGGGGTGGCAGAGAGATACATTCACACCCTTGCAGTCCACATTTACAAAAAAAGCACCACCACCCTCCACAGAAATATCTGCTTACGGGTCTCTCACTGACAACTCAGCTGCTGATTATCCTAGTACTCTGGTAACAATTGCTTGCCCCTGGTGCTGTGATCCCATCCCTGGGCCACCATTTACCCCTTTAACTCTACAGCAACAGCCCTATGCAGTTTTAGTTCCCAGTTCCCTCCTGGCACCTCACCCTGCTGCCTCTGATACAGTGGCAGCAGCACGGAGTGGCAAGAAGCTCCTCGGGAATAGGGCCAAATTGGACTGGCTGCCTGCCCCACCCCGGGGACTACAGAATAGTCGAGTAACTGATAACAATTCATGAGATTAATCGATATTTAACATTCCTAGTTCATTAATTATTTCATAGAGTAGAACACACAATGATCTAAGGAAAATGAATGTGTCTAAACTTGAGCTCAGTCCTACTCATTCCTGTTTTTCTGTTTCCCTATAAGGTTAAATGGTTGATGCCTTCTGGAAAAGGTTGAAAAACAATCTTTTGAGAAACACGGCAGTCTACATATCTGGTATTTGTTTTCCTTTGTGTTTCTCTTTACTAGTATGAGTGATATTAACCTGGAAATGGATCTTGTTTCTTTAGAAGTTAACTGTGTGAAGTCTTCACAGATACATTTTATTTATAATTTGAAATTCTAAATAAAACTTATCTTATAAAAACCAAGCCCTTACTCCACTTTATTCTGCACCAAAGATCCAAAATAGTACAGCTTCAAATAGTATTACTGCAGGGTCTGGGATCATGACCATATAATATGGTACTATGTCCTAAAAGAGGGATCCATACTTGTCCATGTATTCTGTGGAAACCAGTAGGGGTAACACTTTCATGAGGCTTTCTACCTGAGGCTCTCTCTGATGCTTATGGAAATCATTAACACCAAAGTGTTTCACAGCTAAGTCTTACTTACTTTGCCCTTGTAAGCAGTTGTCACCAAAGATACTTGTGATTACTGGCAGGAGTAAGGATAACAGAATTTGTACCCTGATAATTATTAGCAGGGCTTGCCAAGTGGCAGCGAGCCCTGCTCACCAGCCGCGTGGTTCTGCGCTCTGCGCATGCACAGATCGCTCTGTGCTGGCTCTTCCAGGTTTTAATCTACTCGCCACGGGCAAGTAGATTACATTATTTGTCGAGCCCTGATTATTAGTTATTAGAAAGCAAATGACACACTGATTTCCAGAGTCTCACTGAGCGCTTGTACTGCTAGCCTCACAAGTGACCTTAATTTACTGCAGAGCAGCAGCTTTCATTATGCTCAGAAATAATAAATGTAATTTCAATTATAGATCAAACTTATTTCCCAGTACATTCAGGGAAGCTTGTCTTAATTTTCACAATTCCGGTATGAGCAAAATAAGTGCAGTTTTTCATTAAAGTGTTTAGCTTTTATTAACTGTGAACTAATCTACCAAAACTGCAGAGGGTTCACTGCAAATCCAAATTCAGCCAGGAAGTTTCTTATGAATCTGGCAGATGTTTCTCTCCTGTTCTAAATCAGCTACAGAAACTAGTTTTGTCCACTCTCCTTCAGACCTTTCAAAAAAGCTAATGGAAACAAACAGCAATTTAGATTT